TTTTTATAAACAAACGAGTGGAGTAATTTTTGTTATAAAACCAATGAACTTGCACAATTTTTACGGAATTAAGCAAGCGTCCCAAGACTCTGTGAACACTGCATGCTGTGAGCTGTAAGGGTCGCTACGATCTGGGAATTTCGGAGTGAAAAAAAGCAGAACTCACCCGATGCGGCTAGCCAACACGATAACGAGCTTAGCAAGCAGCTACGGTACAGCCGTACACGCTAGGCAGCTAATGGGTTTGCAAGAGCCGCATTTCCCACTTCAAGTGAGGCCTCACGAGATCCAGGGAATGCTTCAGAGGAGAAAAAAAAAAAAAGAAAAAAAAAAAACCACGTGAACAGCCTCTTCTCCCAATAAAAACAGCAAAACCATCCCAGATGTCAAGCGCACTGAAGCGTACAAGAAACTCCGGCGCCAAGCGACGTCAAAATTATATCCAGCGAACAACAGCTGCAAACTTGCTTTTAAAATGTTTCCCATGCAGGTGGCAGAACCTGCAAGGATTATAGACAGGAGAGCAGTGGTGGCATCTTCTGCCGTATCTGCCTTGCATCACGAGAACTTCACCCAGCGGACTTAAGGTGACAGAGCGCTGTTTGAGCACATCAAGCTGGGTCTGGCCCAGGAACGTGGTCCCATTGATCACCTTTGCAGAGATGTGACTCTGAAGAACGAGGTCTTTATCTGCACTAACAGCTAAACTAATGCCATCTCAGGCATCGCTGCCTCTTCAAAAAGACTCAGTCGCTCAGAAAGTCTATACACCAAGCAAGTCTCAGTGCGGATTGGAGCCAATTTTCAGTTGTGCATCCCTCTCCCAACACCTTACATGAAATGAAGGCCAAAATTCGATACAGGGAAGTCATTCAGGTAGATTATGCTGATTATGAACGTCACCCGTTAATTGCACAGCCAAACCTGATCTGCTCGATCTGAAATGGAGAGAGATATGAAAGAAAAAATGTGGGCGGGAAGAAAGTTTCAGAATCTCGGGCTAAGAATAGGCTCCACTGCGATGGATGCACCTAAACCTTGCCAGAAGGAAGGCATGTGATGAATGAGGCACTTCGGACGTCCCAACAAGAGACAGGTGGAGGAAGGAATGGCCTGGACAGGGTGGTTTTGCTTTTCACATTTTATGTAAAGCTTCTTGCAGTTCTCTCTATTTAGGTTAATAATTACCCCTGCCAGAGAGGTACATTTGGCCCAGTAACTCTCAGATCATTCTTAGCAGCACAGCCATGAAGACAGAAGGGGCCAAGTCCACATTACTGCCTTCCTTTGTCAAATTACCATCAACAACGTTCACGTGGGCCATGCTTTTTCCACCAGGGCAATTTGCAGTCATTTGTTAATTTAATACATCCAGGAAATCTCTAGAACAGTTCAGGCCAATGCCCTACTCAAAGGGACCACAACAAGGCCGTCTCCCAGAAGGTGAAGCTGTGATGTCAATTTCCGTAATTGCTATATTACCTATTTCCAGGTGGGAATCAAATTTGCACCACGTATATACACATACACACACTTAACATGTCCATCTATGGTAGTGTTTTTCTATATACCCAGTTCTCAACTTACGTAAAATCCAGACATATGGGGGGGGAAACTTCATAGTTTACAGAACCATTAACGGAAAAAGCTACACCATTAAGTAAATTTAACATTTACATTTAATTTATTTAATGTGTTCTTTGGTACGCATTACTAGAATCATTTTTGACTTGGGTCTTTTTTGCTATCGGGTGTTTTGAATGGCACGGGAAGGTAAACCCGACTCGCGTAAAATCTGACTTGCGTAACGGTTCGCGTAACAGTTTGCGTAACTGGTTGCCTACGTCAATCTAAAAGCATTGGCAAATGTAACAGTTTACTTCTTTGCAGTAATTTGTTGCTCCCACCCTTCTGCAGAGACACACCCAGAGAAGCACACAGAAGATTATTTATACAGAAACCTGCCCAGAAAGCAAAGAGGAGACGCAAAGGTGAATTTGCCTGGGGAAATGGGACGTACGAGCACCTCGGGTTACAAACTAACGCTCAAAGCCCCAAGGCTGAGACAGTGAAGAAAATGGACCTTTAAATTCAACGTTATTCAGATGCGACACTCGGGGTTGAGCGAAGCCACTTGACTTGGTAGCCTCCAGTGTGCACTGATCTCCGGATAACACGTTACATTTTGAGGACAGAAGATAAGAACCAAGGATGTGACTCTGCAAAAGCTTCATCACAGATGAAGAAGAAGAAAAAAAGTTAGCTCTGAACCCCCTTGGAAAATCCATCTATTAACAACTGACACTTGATCACCAGGCCAAGCTTAGCGTCACAAAACGAAAATCCGCTCCAGGATATTAATGTAGCCCTGAAGATCCGAGACCTACTAAACCAGTCTCTTTGAGACTGCCTCACGGTCAAGTATCCCCACCCCCGGAATCTGCTTACTTGCTGGTTCACCCCCCCTCCCCCCCCTACTCCAATGTCGCCTGCTACTCTGTCGAAAGCCGGTAAGGACCCAGGAGGGCACGGAAGACAAACCCTGCCAGTTTTGGCGTCTGTTTCCCCTCCAGCTGGCACAACTTGTTTGTTAAAATTCACGTGGGTCTTTTCTCCTTGACTACAGTACTACCCACTTAACTGTCAAGCCTGTTGCGCTCACGAATTGTTGAAGTACAAAGAAATACTCTTAATTAGAAAGGATGTTAAGAGAGTGAGACTGCTAAAACACCTGGTTACTAAATACTATTAATAATATAATTAAAATGAAATTAAGCTTTATTTGCCAAGTATGAGAACAGGTACATAGGAATGTGTTTTTTTTTCCCCTCCATATCGCGTTTTGCTCGCTCTATATAGAGGCGAGAGGGTTAGTTATGGTTTGAGCACAGGGTCAGCAATCTGTCCAGGAGCCCTGGAATATTTTTGGGGTTGTGAAAGGCGTTGCTCAAAGGCCCAATGGAGATAGCTACTCTGCCAAGCACGGGATTTGAACTGGCGACCTGCTGATTGCGGGTACAAAAGATAAACCCGCTGAGCCACTAGATCTGGGTGGGGGGTCCTGTTCCATGGAGGGCCAGTGTGGATGCGGGTTTTTGGGATGGACTCTCAACCAGCCAATAATAGCGGATCCCCAGGACTGGAGTTGATAACCACCGTTTCGTTAATGGCTGATTGAGAGGCCATGCCAAAAACCCACACCGGCCCTCCACGGAACGGGTTCCGAACCCCTGCACTAGACAAAAGCTTGGCGCTATAAGGTCATTCTGAGTCAAAGGTTGGGAAACTGTCATCCGGAGCTGTCACCAACACTTAATATACGACTGGGCCACACTTACAGGACCCAAATGTGTCACATTTAAAGTGACCCCCAGCTTGATCATTTGGGGCCCATCGTCGGCCCGCCGAAATGCTCCCTGGAGACGCTCCGCTAAACTCGGCCTTGGGAAACACCTGCCTGCGACTCCAGGGCCCTGAGGAGAATATAGAGCAGGGGGGGGTACGGGCAGGCCTGGCGGGAGCGGGCTCCGGGGAAGAAGGCGCGCCTTGTCTGGGAGGGAGAAGACGGCTTTTCTCTGCCTAACGGTGAACAAACACCTCTTGTGTGCCTGTTTCTGTCTCTGATCCAGGGTAACAGAACAAAACTGAATGTATGATACTTTTTTTTGGGGTGTGTGTGTGTGTGTGTGTGTGTGTGTGTGTGTGTGTGTGTGCGCAAGACTTCAGTCTCATAGCATCCAACTCTGAAAGATTAACACATCAAACACTGAAATTACCCACAGGCCCCAACACACTGCGCTAATATTTATCTTTGTTAAATATAAGGCCTTTAATTATTTACTGGGGGAAAAAAAATGTCCTTCTGATTTGGACAAATGGATTCCAGGGGACAGAGAGGGAACAACACATGCAATAGCCGGTAAGATTTAATCGGCTTATAACTTAAACAGGCACTTTTTTTTTTGCTTGCAATCTCACTGTGCCAACATTAATGAGGAATTTTGGAAATCTATATTTTCTTTTGATGAAGGGGGTTCAGTGGAATATTTCACCTCCGTTTATTTGATCTGCCTTTTACGAACCCTGAGGAGTCTGATATTCATCGTATTAAGGTTCAGTCAGCAATGGGTGTATCAGGCCTGCCCCTTCTCTGTTCCCAAGGAAGTACATAAAATGTTCTTTGGGAAGATTAATAGCTTTGATAATCAGAGCAAATTAAAAACTGACCTATCGCACTACATTGTAAAAATAATTTAAAAATTTGCCCGGATATTCAGGAGGTGCCATTTGTTAACCGCAGCCCATATAAAACGTAAATAACCGCGTCTAATATTAGCATCCTGATAATTGTAAAGGAGGAGAAAATCACGGAAATGCAGGAATCCTAAATAACGATTTAAAAAAAAAAAATTATTTTGTTCATTGAGATTCAGGTCTTTTTCTGCAGTCACGCACATTTCAAACTATTTACATGCTTTGGGGTCCGTATTAAAACTTCATTAATTAGTTAGATTTTTACTTTAAACAAATGGCCAGTCCAATTAAATCGTTTTTTCAAGCTCAACCAGACCGTGATGCCACAGACAAACATAACAGCGCTAACCTAAAAACTCACATTAATAATCCCAACGAACAGGGGAAATTAATGCTTTTAAAGTGAAACCCGGGTTTAATCCCGCGGATCAAATTACACAGGGTCATCAAATTAAAAAGTACCACCCAACTGTTGCTTAATTTAATGCAACACACTTCAGCACATCTAAAAATATTAATATAAGCTTGATAAAATAAAAAAAAACCTGTACAATCGCAGTTTAGTACCGTCATATTCAGGAACATTTATTTGCTTTTGAAGCCAATAAATGTAAGAAAACGGATCACCGTTTTGCAACTAGTTGCATTTCAAAGGTGAATGCAAAGGGCCTATGCTGGGGCTCATTTAAAGTTAGGCTTAATCTTTCCGGGGGTCCCGCAGTTTATGAGGGGGTTTGCACGCCGACAGTCCGCCGGCTGACAGCACGCCTGGTCCGGCTACGGGAAGCACGGCAAGCCGGTGGGGGGGCTCCGCAATTCCACGACGGAACAGAAGATGAGCATGCCGGCTGCTGTAGTGGCGACTCCGGGCTCCTATCACGCCACGGAGCCGGAGCCCCGAGGGGGGACAGCCCGCAGGTTCGGCGAAGAGACGCCGCAAAAGTTTTTCGGCAAAGCGCCGACTTCCTGAAAGCGAGTCGGTCCTGCCGCAGGGTCGCGCTGGCCTCTTCGCCTCCCGCTCGGAAATACACGCACGATCAGACTCAACCATACGCAACAGATCGGACTTGGAGAGAGGGGGGAGAGGAGGGTTAGGGTTAAAAAGACGGGAAGACAGCAGGAGCGCCGCCGCCGCCACGCAGCGGCTCCACGCCGCAAAGGCGCCGGCCGAGCCCGTCTACCAGCGTACAGCTCCCCGCCGCCGGCTACCGTCCGCACCGCGGCGAGTCCTTCTAAACCAGGAAGCCGCATACATCGCTATGCACGGCGCGCACATCCACTCACTGTTCCCTTACCTGGATCTGCGCGATGCCGGCCGGCCCGTCTGCGATCCCCGGCGAGTTCTCAAACACCCGGTCCCGGTAGAGGGACCAGAGACCCACGTTGGGCAAAAAGAGCAGAGCCGCCAGCAGCAGCCCCGCCAACTGCAGCAGCCGCTTCTGTTTCCGTCGCATCGTCTCTCCGCCTTTCCTTCTTTCTCTCCCCTTCTTTTTCTCTCCCGCTCGCCGGACAGTAAAGCCCCAAGTCCGGCTCGATCCAGGTGGAGACAAGTTTCACTCCGAGGCGGCGCTGATCTGACTGCGCAGCGCTTCCGCTAGGGGGCGTTACCGCGGCCCTGATTGGGGAAGCGCGCGCCTACTTACCGGGGCAGCACATCATAAACATTTTTTTTTTGCTTTAGATTATATAAAATCTTTTCATGACGTGTTTATATTCCCGTTAGATTAATTCATGCAGCCCTTTGTGGCGTTAAGGCGCAGACACGCAGACGCAGACTGCAGCAGCCGTACATGTGCAGCGGGAGAAGTGACTGCAAGTCGCTCTTACGTTTTATTACGGGCGCAGGCTGTTGCTTGTGCACGTTAACTATTGAAGCACCAGAAAATTCAGTAAAAACGGTTGTAATTGAAATCTGGGCGGCTTTATTAGCTGAGGGCACAATCCGTCAGGCAAAATGAAATTACAAAAACGTGCCCGTATTGTGATATAATCGATTTATCGAATTAGTATGTCTATAAAATCTAGAAATTCCGCGAATAAAATGGTATGACATTGTTGGCATGCACTCCGCATCAGAGGAGTTTCTAGCTATTGACAAGATCACGGGCTTGACGTTTTTTTTTGGCATCGGGGTTAAAATACTCGGGGCCCCGAGTGATATATAGGACCTAACGGCGCCCAAGCCCCGTATTATTATTTATAACCTAATGAGGAAAAGGTACGTCCGAATGAAAGAAAATGAAAAAATATGCAATGCGATTAGGCACTGTGTTAGCTTTAATTAATTGCATTTTTGTTTTTGGAATTACTTACAAACTTATTGTGCTGACTAATCTCCCAGGAGTATAGAAAGTTTACATACACACCTTAATGAAAAAATTGTGTAACATTGTTTTTGACAACGATTGACTAATTAGGCGAGTCATACTTGCAGACTAATATCTTTTATCAAGGCGTTGTTGCGGTTAAGTAGCCAAAGAAACGTGGTTTTCTGTATAATATCCGCCCCATCTTGGGTTAATTATGCTGTGCTTTGTGCCCATAGCATCTGGGATGGGCTCAGGACCCCCGCAGCCCTGAGTCATACAAGGAGGTATACAAAATGGATGGACAGGTGGATGGATGGATGGAGGTTCTTAATGAGTGTATAATAATTTAGGTGACTTTTTTTTATCCAAAGTGTGTTTTGAGTCTTGAAAAGATTTTACAATTACTGATTTGGTTACTCCATCCATCCATCCATCCCATAACAGTTTCTCCACCACATGGTCATTCTCATCACATGGAGAGAAACATAAAGGTCTATGTTATGTTTGGTTACTGCCAGGGAAGAGAGGGTCCTCGTGCTGGGGGAGAGGGATGTTATGAGGCCTGCTTATCCAGTAGAGGCTCTTGGAGACTTCTGGAGCCTGTTGTCCAAGAAGAAGACGACACAAGTCGGGGGGGAACTTTGTATGGGAGGATAATAAGACATCAGTTTCCTAATCTAAATCACATGGACTCTTACGTCGTTGGAATTGTCGGCCACTAATCACTGACCTTTTCCAAAGACGCGGGTTGAAAAAAAGGACAGGCACTCTCCTAAACGCAAGACGATGTGCCTTGATCCTCAGCATCCACACGATCTGCTCCTCTTCACCGCTCCTCCGCTCCTCTTCACTGCACGTCAGCGCTTAATTGGGTCGTTAACGTGATCCTTTGGTAGGGAGACATCGTACTTAGTGATTCAAGCGTCAAACAGGTGTTAATTAAAACATGCTACAAAATATCCTTAAGAACCAGAAAAGGGCTCTATCCTAAACCAAGATGAAGGGGCTGAAAATGGAATGACTAATGTTTCCATGGCGATGAATTATGGGATTATGGTCTGTTTCCTCAATTCATTTAGCTGTTATACGTAAATGAATAATGGAGTACAACATAGAGGTTTTAAACGTCTGTTACATTTATTCTAACAAATAATGGACAGTAATTCATATAAATGTATCTAATATAGAGCCTGAGGTTATTTTATCGACATTTGGCCCCTCGCCAAAGTCTTTCACAGCAAAAAGATGATGCGTGCTAATTGCTAGCCTGAAACACTCTCGGAATAGTCGTTCCAAAGATTTTAAGCTTTAATGGGCTTTAGGAAGGAGAGACTCAGCTGACATTAGATGCTAACATCCCACACGTGCTATAAATCACTTCGATATCGCAACCTTGCCCGGGACCAATCATAGAGGGAGGGGAAAGGTCAAAGGCAGCTCGGCCATTGGTCCGTGGCTCACCCAATCAAATGCCAGCTTGGCAGTGCTTAGCGAATATAAAAGAGCAGCCCATTATATGTCCAGAAGACCACATAAATATCCAGCTGCAGGGGGAAATCAGCACCAGTGTGCAGAATGTTAAGTCCTCCTTGGCGAGGTGCTAAATCAGAGGGGAATATTGCGACTCCATTTTAGGGTGACTGCAAGTTTTCCCGCTGTTAAATGGAAGTAAATAAGCGTGTGCATTTCCTAAAAAATTCCATATTTATCTTCTTTCCTACCATGTTTCAGTGTCTCAGACTTGACAGATGTTGCCCCAAATGACAGCTGAAGAGGATTCACTTAATTAGAAGGAACATCTGGCCTGGACACTGATCACAGGGCCTTGACATAATGTGTAACGAAAGTGAAGCGTGCATGAGGTCATATCCTGCGTGAGGTCATATCCTGCGTAGTCATCTGCCCAAGGGCATCTCAGCTGTGCTTTTATTTGCGTTCATAATTTTTTTTCATAAGTTCCTCAGTATATCCTGTCTAGAATTATCCTATATGGCAATGCTGTTCAGGAACGCCAGGTCCATTTGAGTAGGGAGCTCAACTCGTACTGGTTAATACTACCTCAATGGGTGTTGGGTTTATATGGATGCCGGGGAAGAGGGATTTGACTCACTTTCAGCGCCGCAACCTCTGCTGTGCAGTTGCTTGCCTAGTAAAATATTAACAAAATGACAAATGTAAGTCATACCTTAAAAGGTTTTGTAAAAATCGTTTTACATTTTTATTTATTTATCCAAAGCGATGTACATCTTTGAGAAAGCAGGGACTGACCCTGGAGCAACTGGGTGTTAAGGGCCTCATTCTGGGGCCCAGTGGAGAAATCGCTCTGACACTAGGATTTGAACTGGTGATATTCTATGAATACTCTATGAATCCCTCCATCATGTAAATGTTTATCCAGTACAGGGTCTTGGGGGTGTCGGGGGGGGGAGGGAGGGGGTGCCTTTCTCTGGTAACCTAGGGCCACAAGGAAGATGAACAGACCAGACCGGATGCCAGTCCTGAACCCTGCACCTGAACGTCACGAAGTGAAAGTGACTAGATATATATTTGTCGGCAGATCTCGCACAGATCCAGCGTTTTTTAATGTCGGCCCTTGCTTGTCATTTTTGGTGACCAAGTAACATAAATTTGTCCGGAGATATAGTAAAATATCACTGGAGAACATTTTCCCCCAGTTTGGGTGAATTGAAGTCAATGTGGATATAGCACACGCATGAGAGAGCCAGGTGTTATTTTCTGGGCATTCTGTGTATATTCAGCACAGAATAATGCTGGTCTTTCCTGTTTTCTCACGCCTGTTTGACACAGTACAGTTCCCTGCGGCTCGAGGTTAAGATCTTTTGTTTGGACAGTCGTGGACGCGCTGCGACTCCCTCGGTCACGGATAGATGTTTCAAATTGCAGGCCTCAGGCCGTCCGCGGCCCCTGAGGGGGGGTGTGATTGCGGGCGGTGTTTCTGCTCTCTGGACTGTTGCGCGGTATTCCGCCGTTGCTATGCCGTCAGTCCTACGGGGAGCTTTAATGGAGCGATGCTGTTGTTGTCGCCGGGGCGCGATTCTGCTCTCTCCTCCTCTTGATCTCTCACCGAGCTCGCGAGGCGTGCCGTTTAGGGGTGAGTCAGAGGTCACCCTTCCTGCCTCCAGAACTCGGCGCTTCCCAGAGCAGCCACGTGAAGTTAATAAGATTCCGCATGGTTCCCCACCTGCTGTGGTACCAAAACTCTATTTTAAACAACACCGACGGCCGCGTCTCGCCTTTTATTCACACCTGCTGTTGCCGTCGGCGTCACTCCTGTCGTTCTTTGTCCGCATAACTGCGATGCCTCAATGGTACCAGTCTATCTGAGTCATCAAACTAAGAAGGGGCGTGGCTTCAAGGGGCGGGGCAAAGTCAGGTGACAATCTTATCCAGTCAACTACTTTCCTGATTTCCTGGAACTTTGCACTGAAACTGTTTATTGCTATCTATCTATCTATCTGTCTATCTATCTGTCTATCTATCTATCATTTATTTGTATTATTTTGCTCCCTGATCCCATTGCTCGACCAAGGCAGAAGATGATGTGCACCTTGGCCAGAAAGTCGTTTACGTGTCGCTGGTGCACAGGACCGCCCTTGAGAATCAAGCTGCTGTTGATGGAGATCCGGCTCCTCGCCTAGGGGGGTGGGGGTGGAACAGGGTCAGGGATGGGCTCCGTGACTTTCCCCCATCTTGTCTGGCTCGTAAACCATTTAATATTCCACACGGCGGAGGTCCCCCCCCCCCACCACCGATATTGACATCCATTGTTTTACTTCATGTGAAATCGATACCTGTTGTCATGTTTACTTGAAGGATCAGTCCCGGGGGGAAGGGGGGGGGGGGCATAATTTCATTGAGCTGACCCCTCCGCACGTTATTGATGACACTTCGTTCCCTTTCTTCAGTGCCTCAGTGCCGGTGGTTAAATATCTATTTATGACCCGAGATGACATTTCTCCTGAAAGTGCTGCTGCGAAGTAGCGATGGGCTGGGAAATGGTGGCCCTAGAGACTACAGGGGTATGATAGCATGATGTACCGGCACCGCTGGGCTTGCGATAGCATGATGTACCGGCACCGCTGGGCTTGTGATAGCATGATGTACCGGCACCGCTGGGCTTGTGATAGCATGATATACCGGTGCCGGTTATTTATGTTACTCGCCTTCAGCAAGCGATCATCAGTTTGATCACATGGGGTGAGTTATTTAGCTCGGTAGGTTGGGACTCAGTGTTATCAGAAGGTTGTTGGTTCAAATCTCAGAGCCTGCAAAGTTACTTCATTGTTGGGCCCTTAACAAGACCAAGTGCTCCACGGACTTAAAACAGTACGCTAGACACTGTAGACTTTCCAGGAGCTTTGATGCTGCACAAGAGCCTTTTGTCCCCAAAACTTGCTAACGTCTTTTCCTCTCTGGCCCAAGCAGATGTCCTATCGTACTCGGTGCCGTAGTTGTGGGCATTTCAGCTGATTCCAGCAGCA